AGTGTTGGCCCTCTCCCCCTTAATCTTTACCCATGCATGCTAACTCTACAGAAAAACTTACTTTTCCTAAAAGTCACATGTCTAGAAGTGAAAAATTATTTTCTCTTTCATATCATATAAGATGTACCTTTTTTTATTATTAGGGTATCCAAGAAAGATGCAAGATGTGGATCTAGGTTTCAATTTATTCTTAATATTCAAATCTGTGGCAAAAGCCAAAGAACAAAAAATTTTCAAATTTATATATATTAGGAACCTTACCATAAACTATCTCAGGGGGTTTTATCTCAAAATTCTAAAAGGTATTCTATTCACCAAATAAGTAGCCATTTTAACACATTTACCCTAAAATCTAACAGGAACATTTGATTGAATCATTAAACTTCTGGAAATTTGCATTAAAGTTCTAAGCTTCCTTTCCACAATTTCATTTTTCTTAGGAGTGTAAGGACAACTAGTTTCATGTATTATTCCTTTTTTGCCAAAATAATTTTTCAGATCATGATTTACAAATTTTGTTCCATTATCACTTCTTACCCTTTTAACATAAACAAAAAATTGGTTCAGTATATATGCTAGAAAGTTCTTGATATGATGAGAAAAATCCAAGTGGCCCTTAAGAGGTCATCAACAATGGTAAGAAATTAATGGTAACCTTGACATATAAGTGTCTAATAAGGTCCCTACATATCTATATGTAACAGTGCAAAGCAAAATTTTGATTTAATACAAGTAGGAAAGAAGGAAAGTTTGGTTTAGATTGAGCACAAATCTCACAGTCCTCTCATGTACAAAATTCAGATGCTTTATCATAGATAAAGTAGCATGTCCTAATCTCTTATGTAACAACCAAACATCAAGAGTATCATATGATTTGTTCCTCTTACAAGCAACATTCACAACATCATGTTTCGGCTTAAAAATTGAAATGTAAAAGCCACTAATCAATATGCCAGTCACTTTCATCTTCCTATCCTAAAGGCCTTATGTGAAACAATTGTTAGGGAGAAAGCACACATGCAAAGAAGTTTCCTTGTTATTCTAGACATCGAGATTAAATTAAATTGCAATTGGGGAGCATACAAGACATCTTCAAGATAAAAGTCATCAATAAATTTGACATTTCTTATATGTGTGGCTACAACTTTATCACCATTTGGTATCTTAATTGTTTTAGTTGGTACCTTATATTCTATAAAATTATCCAACAATCACAAATCACTTACTAAATGGGTAGTAGCCCACAGGTCAATAACCCATCTAACACGCATATTTAAAAAGGAGGAAGATTTAGTCAAACCTATACCAGTTAATGCATGTATTGTTGTTTCTAAGTCTTTCTTGAGTAGCTCCAAGAGGTGTTTATACTATTCAGGTGTCAGAGAGGTAGTCACAGTGTTGGCTAAGTGTGCACTTGAATCATTCTCATGGACTATATTCATTCCAGCTTGATTGGTTGTTTCCTTTGAAATCTAGGAGGTAGTCGATTTTTTGATAACAATTTTCTTTCACATGCCTTTTCTTGTAGCAATGTGAGCACTCTAATAGGGTTCCACCTCATATCTTTCTTCTACCACAGTCCCTACCTTGTGCAATCATGGCAATCCCTTCAATTAGGGTATTCAGATTTTAGTTAGTGATAGTTTTCTGAGACTTATTTTGACATATCATAGCATATGCTTGATTTGCAATAGGTAGAGGACGTATCAAGAGGATTTGGCTTTACGCTTGGCTATAGGTATCATTAAGACCCATTAAGAACTATAATAGCTTATATTGCTAGATCACATCAGCATAAATCTTGGAGGTTTCACACTTGCAGGAGGGAATTGGAACCAACGACAATTGCTCTTCCCAAAGTTCTTTCAATCTTGTGAAGTAACTTGATACAGAAAGAGTTCATTGACGTGGTAACATAGGAGAAAGAAGAGGTGGTGAGATGGTGGCCATTGATGATGTGGCAGCTTACAATGATAGACACACGACAATGATACGGATGAGGGGATGACATGGCAACATAGGAGAGAGAAGAGAATCTGAGGTGGTGGCTCATGATGAGGTTGCGTTCACCAACATGACAAGTGGTGGCAATTAGTAGTTCCCACTTGGTATTTTAAATTTACAAAATAAAAAAATTTAGTGACGGATTAGTGATAAAAATTTTCATCACCAATTTGTGATGGAATTTTCCGTCACAAATCTATCATTATTTTGTGATAGAATTTATGTAGGATTTCTGTCACTAATTAGCAACGCACTGCTGCAAAAAAGATATTTAACGGCGGTTAAAATGAATTTTAAGAGCAATGTTTATGCTATCGACGTAAAATATAAAAAATTTCACGACGGTTGGAGAACCGCTATGGTGTGTGACTTTTCAGTGAATTTTTTTTTTTTAGTTTACTTTCATCCTATTGATCAAGATGGAACCGAAGAACAAAGCCCTAAAGGAAGGGGTTTGAGAATCAATTAACCAATAACCTCTTACAAGTTAAAAACATTCTGATGAAGCAAATGTAGATTCTTTTCTGCCGCAATAGTGTTATTTTGCTTTGCTTCTACCACTAGATCGAAGCTATTAAGATTTAATAAAAGTAAAATAAAAAAACTTAGATCTGATAAAATTCATGAATTTCAAGTTGTTAAACCACAAAAACTATGAAACCCATGGAAAGAATGGAGGAGAAAGGGTGAAAAACTCACAAATAAGAATGAAGAGGATGAGGCAACGACAACAGCGACAGCGACTGCAACAGCAACAGCAACGGCAATAACGACAGCGATGGTGATGGAAGAACATGGCGGAGATGATAGAAGCAAAGGATAAAGGCTAGCAAAGGTAGGAGGAGGGAGAAAATCGAGTGAGGAGGTAATTGGGGACTATGAGCTCTGACTCTAAAAAGTGAAAATTATCGCGCGATGGATAGGGTTTTCAAATTCTGATAGGCTTTTTAAGGCGGTTATTTAAAAAACCTCCATTAAAAATATTTCTTATTGCCATTATTTAAAAAACCACTGTCAAAGATATTTTTTTACTGCGGTTATTTAAAAATCGCCGTTAAAAATACTTTTCACAGTGGTTTTTTAAATAACCATCGTGAAAAGTAAAATTTACTTTCCTATAATTACAAAACTGCCACTGTCATTTTTTTTATAATGTTTTTTCTAATAACCACCGTAAATTAGTGTCGTGAAGGCTCTTTTTTGTAGTAGTGACGAATTAGTAATGAAAAATTTTTGTCACTAATTTCCGTTGCTAAATTCCGTCACTAAATAATCAGCAATGGCGGAATTAGTGACAGAAAAATTTTCGTTGCTAATTATGTTCTATTGCTAATCCTTTACAAATTTTGATTAGTGATAGAAATTCTATCACTAAATTCCGTCGCTAATTCGATTTTTTTTTTTTTTGCAGTTCTTTCGTGCAAGGTCCGTCCATAAAACTAGGTTTGTGTTTTCCCGGTAAGGCGATCCGCATCGCTCTGCCCCAGACATTGTAATTTTTAGCACCCCTGACAATATGTGACACTATCGTTGCTCCCTGCGTATCAGAGGGGCGCAAATATGTTTGCTCTGCTCGCCTCTAGGGTGTCACGATGATTACGTTCTGTTTGCGATTTCTGTATTTCGGTGATCATAACAAAGACGACGTCGTCTATCTTCTTGATTGGTAATGGACCTTTAGGACTTGGCTCTTGATGCCATGTCAAAGCCACAGATCAGGCCCAGAAAACTAGGAATACTGGCATTGATCTGAATGATACGTCCATGCACAAACTCAAAACAAACGACCAACTATTTATACTAAGCATACAACAAGAAACTATCAAAACTCCTAAATAGGCCGCATCCTCATAGACCCAAGACTCAGAATACAACATTGCATGCTCTCATCAGGAACTCACATTTCTAGAAACAACTTAACAACAGCACGTACATTACTTATTACAGTAATAATATTCTATCTGACTAGAAACGCGCATTCGTAAGACCCACTTGAATATACGTACGTATCACACACACACACACGAAATCTGTACTCGCACACACATAAACTCACACACTTGCATATATACATACACGTGTGTGTGTTTTTTAATTTGGCTAAAACATTTTGGTGATCGCTATAAGCATAGAAAGTGGGGTCCTGCAAATAATAGGGATGGTTTAAATCTGATGCATCATTTAAGTCCGAATGGTGATTAGATGGATCTGTGTTCTCTGATCCCCTCAATTATGCCACTGATCTATATCTCCAAACTTAACTCATGATAACAACTACTACCTTGCATATCAGTTTTTAATATAAGATATAAATAACTAATTTATAAATACTATTTAAAAAAATTAATTTAATTAGTTATTTGTATCAAATTGATTTTAGTTTTTTTAAATACATACTTTAATCATGTGTATTGAAACTATCCTTGATGGAAATAACTTTCATATGTGTAATCATTACTGATACATTGTAAAAAAAAAATTATAAATTGAGAAGATAAATGAATTGAGATTTTTTTTTATCAAAATAAATAGTTATTATATATATTTAGAACCGAAATACTCATCCAATCTTAAATTAAGATTCATTTTGTACTGAACAGAGGAGTACTATTTTTAAAAGCTTCACTTTTGTGGTTTGTATGTGTGTGAAAATGGGGAAGAACTTGAGCGTATACACGTACATTATTCTGGATCTAAATGACACCATTTCATTAACTTTGTCAACAACTAGAAATAGTTGTCCAAACAATAGGCTAGCTAGCTTAAGCACAAATTAGTTTTTTCAAAAAAGGAAAAAGAGAGAGAAGAACAGGGAAGGCACATGCATTTCTAAGACCTACTCAACAACACGTACACTTGTTATTAAGACAGTAATGATATTCTATCTGACACAGTTTTGTGAGTCGTCCATGCATATATGAGTCCAAACAGTGAACAGTAGCAAAAGAACCACAGAGAGAGCTGATCCATCGGAGCAAGAGAATCAACAATAATAATCACCAAGTCTGGGCACTACATATGCTGTTCCAGTAATGATTCTTGTCCTCAAAGTTTGTGTTTCCACAAATCATCATGCTTGATTCGCCATTAATATCGACGAAACCCAAGTTGTCCATGTTCTCACTGGATTCAAAAACAATCACATCATCATTATCTGCGCCGTTTAAGCCTTCCATTTTACTGTTTGATGACAGTACTTCTTGCACATTCTTGTACCTTTCCCCCATAAATGCCTCCACCGCCACCATAATGTCGTCGTCTTGTAAGTTTGTCGTTGTTGTTCTTTCTCCGATCATCGCCGCCGTGTCCCATGGCTCCATTCCTGAAGTGGCTGCGGCGAGAGAATTAGCCATGGTGGTGGTTGTGAGCGGAGGGATGACGACTTTTTCAGGTGATATTCCTACGTTGGTGGTGGTGGTGTTGGGGGAGCTAAGTGGTAACATCGGTTCTGGGAAGCTCAAGGTGGACGTCGGCGACTCGAGATCGTCGTCAGCTGCGGCGAGCATCAAGGCGTACATGTTATGCATTCTGGCATTTTTGTCTTCTGCTGTCGGCAACGATGACCATGAGTTTCGCCATGCTTTGAGGACGTCTAGGCACGGCGGAACGGACTGCCGAGCCGAGATTCTGTTGAGGACGAGCCGAGCCGGTTGAGCAGAGGGGAGAGATGAGGAGCCGAGCTGGAGCTTGGACTCTCTGACTAGCCTGGCTTCGGCTTCAAGCCGCGCACTCTCCCACTGAGCCATGTGGCTAAGGCTGGAGCTAGCCGGGCCACCGCCGGCGTCAACTTTGGGCCGGTGAGTGGCCGGGTCGATTCCCATTCTCGCGAGCCTCTTCTTCAGATGAGTGTTCCAATAGTTCTTAATTTCATTGTCCGTTCTCTTAGGCAAATGAGCCGCTATGGCTGACCATCTGGTGCAATATAGTAATACGAACCATATTAGCCACACATTTAAAATGAATAACAACAATAATAGTAACGGTGGTGGTGGTGGTAGTGGTAGTAATAATAATAATATCTTTTCTTTTTAAATTCTTTGAAGTAGGCTGGTCCAAAAAAAAAATTGTTTAACGTTGGGCTTTCCTCTTTTGTACGTACTTTAGTGGGTACATTAAATAGAAACCTACTATTTGGTTTCCTTTAATGAAGTCTCTTCATGTTCCTTTAACCTACAAAGCTGACCAAACGTACCACCCCATTCATATATTGAAGTAATTAAGGACGAAAACGTTGAACAAGACCAATACCCATGCACAGAACCATTTACTGACTTGTACAAAGAGAAAACTTCAAAACTCAGAACACAAACTATACAATAATGAAGAAGAAGAATAGCTCTGTTGGTACGTAGGAGAGATGTGTTAAATTAATAAGTAGTTTCAGATTTAAACCCTAAATATACATGTTCAGTCTTGTTAAATAGTCATTGGGAGAACTTCTTTCCTGCCTATAGTAGTCGGAGTTCAATGTGACTACCAGATAACACAAAATCATAGTAGTATAATGAAGAAGAAGAGGAACAAGAACTCAGTCAGAATCTTTGTTAGCTTAACAAGTGGTTTCAGACTCAAGCCGTAACTATACACATACAGTTACTTTAAATAGTGGTTAGGAAAACTTTGCCGCTCTTGCGGTCTTTCCTGTCTCAACCCAAATTAGTTGGAGTTCGCTGTAATTTGCAGATACCAAAAGAAGGAGAAGGAGAAGGAGGAGAATATAAGAAAGCATACACACACACTCAGACACAAAAAAAACACACATATATATACCTGTTTCCAAGAAGAGCATGAAGCTGAATAATGGTTCTCTCTTCTTGCAAGCTGAACTTTCCTCGTTTGATATCAGGTCTGAGATAATTAGTCCACCTCAGTCTGCAACTTTTCCCACATCTCTCAAGTCCTGTTAACCAAAACCCACACACACACACGCACGCACATTTATATAAGAAACCATATAAGATAATGGATTTAACATAACAAAGCCATATGTATAACATAGATATACCAGCTTTGGAAGGCAAAGCACGCCAGCTTCCATGGCCGTGTTGTTCAATGTAAGCGATGAGCTTCTGGTCTTCTTCGGGAGTCCATGGCCCTTTCTTCAACCCCACTTTCTCACAGCAAGGTGACCTACCCATTATATTATTTGATGATATATGACGAATTGTTTCACTAAAAAAAAAAATTGACAGACAAATGGAGAGAAGAGAGAAAGAAAGAAAGGAAGACTTGTTTTGGAGGAAAGTGGGTAAAGACTAAAGATGAGGATGGTATATATAAGAAAAGTGAAATTGTTTGTTCATAATTAATGTTCGTCATAATACTTTTCTATCTCAACCTTACTAAATATCTCTGCAGTCTCTATATGTATGTACTACATGTTCCTAGACCAGAAATTATTATATCGTTGGATATGCAATATAATATTATATTACATTTAATTTTTATTAAAGGGGCTGGTGAATGGTGATAACTCTTTGGCGTTTAGGTAAAATACATAATGACATGTTATGATTAGATGTTATCTTAATTTTTTTAAGCATTATGGGAAGCATTTTGGAATTTTGCATTATTATATTTTCTTTTTTTTTTTGCATGTATAGTTGCATATTACTGAGTCAGATTTGATTATTATCGGGAAAGAAAATACTAGTTTTGCTATGCATCATTGTTAGAACCGGAGAAAGAAAATAAAAAAATTATATTGGAACATGTAATAAACAAATTTCAAGTATGAAAATTTATAATAACAATCTATTTATTTTAAATGAAAGACCTATAGGTTATATATTTTAAACTTGAATTGATCAAACGGTAAAATGTATCTAACCCTCCAGAATTTTTCCAAGTGCAGCACGTTGAGATATTCTTTCCAGGAATATCTAATATTCTAAAATATTCTTTCAGATGTACTTAGCATTCTAAAGTATTTTTTAGTATGATTTTACATTTAGTAATTTAGGATAGTGGATGGACACAAAATATATATATATATATATATATATATATATAGAGGGTGCTCAAGGCACTTAAAAAAATATTTTAGGGTACTAGATATACTATAAAATATTTTAATATACTAAATGTACCTCAAAAAATACTTCAAAGTACTGGATGCAATTTAACCCTTAATAAGATTATTTGATTTAATGATAAATTTTCTTTTTTATAATCTTTTTTGGTGAAAATTTTTTTATAATTTATGTAAGAGAAATACACTATGAAATATTGGGCCAGAATTGGTTCTTGTAGGTGGATGATTATTACTCAAATATTATTATTCTATTGTTTCCAAATTAATTTCTCTACTGGCCAGCTCTCTACACAATAACGCAAACCATAATTACCAGAATAAATTCTCATTGATAGGAACGCGTCTAGTTTCAACCTTGAAATTTATTGTGTCTGCTAAGTTATAACATCTTCTTCAATCTTACAGATATTAAAGATAAATGCATAATTGAATGTATCCAACCCAGAAGCTTCTCTTGATTATTAAATACTCATATAAGATCAAACTCTCAATTAAATTAAATATATAACTAGTCGAGCAACCTTTTCTTATTGAAAAAATGGACCTCATCAGCATACTCCTTCCGATCATTAATATGAGACACTTCTGGTTATTTTATAAATTTTTTTTTAAAAATAGTTCATTATTATTACCTGCCAAAATTGCCCTCCAATTGAAATCAATTTATCTTATTTACCTTTAATTTGCTTTTCTTATGGCAAGTAAAATACAACTAATAGGGTTATTTGTAGAAAAGAAGAATTTAATTCTATTGGCTTTTTGCAAAGTGACTTATGTTTAGAATCATAAAAAAATGTTTTATACTGAAGACGGAAGTGATTACATATACACTATAAAGTCCAAAGTGACTACATAACTACTATCTCTAATCTTAGATATAAGAGGTGGTTAGAGATTTAATTTGATTTTATTCATTTTTCATATACTCCCTCCGTTCCTTATTATAAGAGACAAATAACCGAATTACGTTGATAAAAAAAACAGTTAAAATTAGTTAAGAACAATCAATGTGTAAAAAGTATAATTTTTTTTCCAAAAATACCCTCATTAATAAGGAGAGAGAACAATGGTAAATTATTAAAAGAAAGAGAAGTGGGAAAGAGAGAGAGTGTGAGTTGGAGACAATAAATATGGGTAAAATAGGAAATCAACACAAAAAAGTAGAGACAACTTTTAAGTGTCTCTTATATATAGGAACATGCCATAAGCATCAAATGTCTCTTATAATAAGGAACGGAGGGAGTAATTAACAAGGATATTTTAGGAAAGACAACACCCACTTATTACAAATAATAAACTAAATTTCTTAATATTTGCAAATTACAAATTAATTATCTAACCCTTATATTAAGGATTGAAAGTAGTATATGTGTGTGTATTCTCTAGAATTTGGACCATTCATATTAACTTTTGTACCACGAAAGAGTTCATTTGGATAGAAATTAAATACGTAATGAATACCTTTGTATAAACAATCTTAAAAACTTGTTGACAAATCGCTTACTTTTGTATTTGGGCCATAAAAGCATTGGGCGTGGGGGGTGGGGGAGGACCACACGACTAAATAGGTTTCGGGGTAGGATCACATAATAATTAAATACAAATAATGACATCAAATTTCTGATTTATTTTAAGTCAAGCCCTGAATTTTTTTTTAAATTATACTAAAGAAGTATAGTCTTCCTCTAAATTATTTGAGCTAAGCATGCTCAACAATGCGTAATTTTTATCACTGCCGTTCTAAATCTGTTTGTACAAATACTATGGAGCTGGATTAGGCATTTTTTCCTAGGTTCGAGCTGGATCATTGGATATGGAGCTTCATGAAGAATGACTAAAAAAATATTCCTTTGAAATTTGTAAATTTTAATTTAAGATTCTGAAATGGCCTAGTCATTATGAAGTTTTTAGGTTTATTCTGTTATTAAATTTTGTAATGAGATTACATAAATGTCATTAGTTGTCATTTGTGATGTGTTAAAATCTCATTTCTACTTATTAAACTTTTATCATAATTGATATTCACCAACTTACTAATACTTGTCAATGTCAAAATAGAAATTTTCATCAAATTATTTATCATTTGATAAGTTAAAGTTATTGCTTGTCACATAAATGACTCTTCCGTTCCTTACATTTAATTAGGACCGGAGGGTGGATGTCATATGCATGAATATGTTAATATAAATTATAATATATACATATATGGTGTAAATATATATATCTTGTTGGATTTATTTTATATATTAATATTAATAAAAACTACACCGCAGCCTTTAATTATTTTATAGTATTAGAAGAATAATTATTATTTCATAAAATTAATTCACAAAAATTTAAGCAACAGGGGAAAGAATATGACAGTAAGAAAGTGGAAACTTCTTGAAAAAATTGGTGAGAATGGAAGAGATGGAAACAAATATTGCGTAAGATAAGTCAACTTCAAAGAAAAGAAGAAGAAAAGCATTTTGGGAGATGAATAAAAAATGACAATAAAAGGAAAGGAAAACACTAACAAGGGGGAAGTAATGATTAAGAGAAAACAATAGATTCATTAAATTCGGGGGTTCAGAAGTTCAGAAAGGTATTCCCACTCTCAACTATGTGTAGGTTTTCATATAAATTTTGTTACTCAATTAGTTCCTTTACATAAGACATTTTTAAAAGTTTTAATATTTTCATTTATAAGAAAGTTTAGGTAATATTAATATATTTTCAAAAATGCCTGGAAAAGAGCGTTTCTAATTAATTAAGAAATAAAGAATGTGGGGGAGAGATGAATATTTAACAATTGTATTTGTGAAAATATAAGATTAAGTTGTTGATAGAATAGAATATATATATATATATATATATATATATAGTGGGATAAGGCTTGGTATAGTTATTGTATAAATGTGAAAAATATAAGGCATTTTAAAATATCAGCTATAGTTTTTTTTTTGTATAAAACATATAAGTTTGTCTGATAAAAAATGTAGTGATATTCTCATTGAAATAAAAAAAAAAAATAGTTGCAATAACGTAGTACCATAATTTTTTTCAACAAAATTTTTTTTATCTCCTCATGAAAATTGATACAAAGAATTTTTGTGAGATAAAATAATTAATACTCCACAAACTCCTATTCTTCCAAAGTAATTAATTAATTAGTTGGCAAAAAAGTAATCAATTAATTATTTATTTAAAATTAGCGTATCAAATATTTGTGTTACTCTTCCCTATCTACCCCTAACATTTAGTAGTATGTAAGTATTAACTAATATTTTTTTTAGTCTTTTTATATTTTATATTTTATCTTTTTCACATTATTCTCAGTTATACTTTCTCCAATTCAAAATATAAGCACCAAGTAACTAATTTGCGCAAAAATGTTACACCCATATGTTTAAACGGAGATAAAAAAGTTTGGAAAAAGACAAGACAAAAACGGAAACTTCTTTATTGTTTTCAGTGATGAAATGCACACTCCTTCAATTTTCACGCAAAGTTGATGATTGTTTAAGATTCTCCTTAATTAGTTTTGGTGATAATGCTGAAAATGTCTTACAAAATGAAATTTAATGGCTTTTTAACAAAAATAAATCAACTTTAATTAAAGATAACTTTGTGAAAAATATGTAATTTAGATGACGAAATGATTGAATTCTTTTCTTATATAAAATATCTAAGCAAAATGTTCTACCGCATAAAGAAATTTTAAAATTCATGTGAAAAGACACAAATGCCCCCCACTTAATAAAAACACAAAAAGTCAAGACCGTCTCTTGCCGAAGAACTCTTTGGCAACTGGCAACTAGCTAAAACCAATATAAAAGTTGTGAATGACATTACTAAATGAAAATAGCTAATATCTGATTAATTGTTTAGTCAAATTAGTGCAAAGTTATAAACGACATTGTTAAATGAAAGTTGTTAATATCTGATAATATGTAGTCAAAACTAGTTTTCTCATCAATTCTTAAATTTCAAACTATAATAACAACTGTTGAATACATTTTACCTATTGCATAATAATAATAATCAACAAATCACAATTTTAACATAAAAACTTGAAAAACTGAGGACAAAAATCATCTTTTTAGAAAATGCTCAGTTCCTAAA